TCCCATGTCTATACAGGACCTCAGCCTCCTCAGCCTCAGGACTCCACTTCTGGGACCTCCTGGAGGTACAATCTTCCTGGGGACCTGAACTCTACAAGCCCAGATGCAATCACAATTCGAATGTAGGCCATAGGGGCAGAGAAAATAAAGGAATGCAGAACAGCAGCCCTAGCTCCCTTCCCTGACTTAGTTGCTGTCTTTGTAAAACCACCACCACCAAATAACCAGGTTTAATTAAAAAAAAAAAAAGTTTGGATCTGAGGATATACAGGGCCACCTTTCATTCTGGGGTGGGGGCTACTCTACAGACAACTTCTAGGAACAGTGCTGGAGGCTGGCTTAAAATCCACTAATCCCATTATCACTGATTTCAATCTGGTTAGCAGATAAAAACAAATCCTCTTCAATCCCCACTTTCAATCTTTCCTCCTGGCACCTCCACTCATACAGGACAGCATGGAAAGGGTTAGGAAGGTACCTGGGCTATTATGGGCCACCCAGGCTTCCAGCAGCACTGCTGCCCACTGGCTTCATCTTCCCTGTACAATGACAGAAAGTGCATCTGTGGGGCTGGAGATACTACAGTGGATAAAGTGCTTGCTTCGAATGTAGCCAACCCAGGCTCAATCACCAGGTTCCCACACGATCCCCTGAGCACACCATGGATTTCTGAGTGTAAAGTCAGTAGTTTCTTATTTTTTTTCTTTTTGGGTCACACCTGGCTCTGCACAGGGGTTACTCCTGGCTCTGCACTCAGGAGTTACTCCCAGCGGTGCTCAGGGGACCATATGGGATGCTGGGAATCGAACCCGGGTTGGCCGCATGCAAGGCAAACACCCTACCCGCTGTGCTATCTCTCCAGCCCAAAAGTCAGTAGTTTCTAAGCATCGCCAGGTGTTCCACTAAACAAAAACGAAATTAAAAAAAGAGCCTCGATAAAGCACTACTTGGGCTGAAAGAGAACCAAGCGAGGTCTGGAAAAGAAGGTCCCTCCACATTGGGCAGCAGGGGGCAGGACACAGGACTGAATGGAGACAGACAAACCTCCAGGGTCACAATCCCGAGACTCAGGAAACTAGGGTTCCCACGGCAGATCAGGAATTCTGAGGCATGACTCAAAGACACAAAGTCCAAGGGAGAGAAGGAAGGCAAAAGAGTAAGACCCTGCAAGATACCTAAGCCTGGCAGCACACACTCAAGACAGCTTTACACGACTGCTACCTGAGGGGAAGGAAATGGGTAAAAAAAGGCACTGTCAACCAGTGACTGGAGAAATGAACCTTTCTAGAAAGTTCATTTCTACCAGGTTTTTCAAAATGTGCTCTGATCTAGAGATTCCTCTGTGTGTGATGTGAAAATCATACTCAAATGTTCACAGAGTGTTATTTAAAATAGAGTATCTGTTGCTTGGGGTTTTGGACCATCCAGAATTGCTGAGAGCTCATTCCCAGCTGTGTTCAGGGTACCAAAGTGGTGATGGGATCAAATAAGGATTAGCAGTATGCAAGGCAAAGGCCTTATCTCCTGTTCTATCTTCCTGGCCCAAAAGAATAGAACAGAATATTTGGGAAATGCAAACAAACAAACAAACAAACAGAAACCCCCCCCAAACAAAAAAACCCACCTTAATGAGATTAATTTATTTGCCTGTGGATAAGGACTAGAATGAAAATGGGATTAAGGGTGGAGTTAGCTAAAAGGGCCTGAATACATGTCTTTATGAAGGAGTCTGGGTGCAATTCCCAGCACTACATGGTCTGTGCTGCTGCCTCCCCAGCCCTACACAGGCAGGTGTGACCCCTCTAAAATTATTTTTTAAATAAGATTAAGAAATTTTAAACATACACTACCCTAATGTTCCATATTCACCAAATTCTTTAAAATGACCAGTGCTCACCTTAGCAGTATATACGTTAAATGGGATCAGTACAGAAATAGCAGGAACTTCGGGCATACATGCCATACAAATTTGTTTAAGTGTTCCTTATCTTTAGAAAAATAAAAGGATGGTGCACTCCTTTTTAAACCCTGCAATTTTGAAACAAAATGAACCAGCAACAGTATAGCCCTACAGCCCTTCAGGGCTCATTCAAAAAGGGGACAGATGGTTGCTTTGCCCTATGACACTGGTCTCTCTCTTCATTTCTGCTGGCTGGACTACATCCATGATTTACGATGGAACATAATGAACTGAGTTGGTAGTAGCCTTCTTGGACTGGGGAGGAAGGCTCAAATCCTCTTGGAGTGGAGAGAGTGTGTAGGGGTTAAGGGTCTTTGCCTTGCATGCGGCTGATCCTGACCCTGTATATGGTCCCTGAGCATCATCAGGAGTGATCTGAGTCTAGAGCCAGGTGGCCCAAATACTAATGAAATTATCTTTAGAAACTGCCCTTTACAAACAGTGGCACTGTTTGCGATGCAACTGCCAGCATTCTGAACCCTTCTGTAAGAATGCACGGTACTAAAAGCCACAGGGGGATCAAACCATGCACACACTCTGTACTACCACTTCCTCATTCTTGTAAAGAAAGACATCCATTAAAGTGCGGAGGGGGGGGGCAGTAAGAGTTGCGGGGGTTCCACGCTTACAGCAATGCAAGTAAATGCCTTAGAGCTGAGCTCCTCCCCTGGCCTCAGGCTCTCTGTAAATGTCAAAGAAAATCAGGCAGTTAAAAAGCCATGGTGCATTCTCTAAAGGTTAGTAATCTTGATCCAGCAATAATACATACACCCAAGTACCCAAACAAGAAATAGTGGCACATCTGTCTACATAAAAAATGTGTGCCGAATATCCACAACTTTGGTCACAAAAGTGAAAACTAAAACTACAAAAATGTCCCGTAAACGATGAATAAATAATATGTGTGGGACATCATTCAGTTACAAAGAATGAAATACTGGCTCAAGTCATAGCGTAAACCTTGAAAATATCAATGGGTAATGAGTGGACAGGAAATCCAGTTTAAAAGCCATGCCAGACAATGCCAGGAGTGACTACCCAAGTACTTGACCCCAAACCATAAATGATAAATAATAACTAGTCTAGAATCAGTTATGCGTTCAAGTGGTAGAGTGCATGCATCACAGGTGAGGTTCTCAGGCCCATACCTGACATTGCACACATACACAAGCACAGTTGGTCTTACAGCAAAGAGAGGTGTTTCATGAGATTGAACCTCATGCACGCGAAATCAGAACTTTAGAAAACACTCCCTGTTGAAAGACTAGGTGTTACCTGTTCAGGGTCCATATGTGGAGACCAGTGGTGGTGGAAAACTAACGCAGGGCCTCTCACATGCACTGGGCCACATCCCAGCCCAGGATCAACCTTTTACTGACGATGAGTTTTCCATTAAGAAATGCTACACCCCAGTACCCACACAATAGTTCAGCAGCCCACCAGGGTTCAGGAACCACATAGGGTACCCCAAGCTCTCCAGAAGTGATCCCTTGAGCACAGCTGGCCCAAAGCCCTACTCCCCCAAATACATACTACTCATATGCATTTATTATAACCCACTTCACTCCTAAAATACTTTTTGCCCAAACCTGCTCACCACGTGTCAGAGCTCTAAGTGGGAAACGTTCTGTGGACAACGCTCAGGAATGACTGCCTGTCCCGGACTACTCGATCAATCCATTTGGTGCAACTTCTAAGGACTGATATGTTCTTAGCGGAAACCACACTCTGCGAATCACTACTGAGCAGTTATGTCCACTGTTTAGAGTATTTTATTCATTCAGAGGAACTATTTGTATCTAGTGAAAACACCAAAATTTCTTGCTCAAATTTCTCTCTCCAGTCTGTGGCAGAGAGACTCTAGACTCTCTAGCCTCTGAGGATACAACAGAGAATAACGTAAGCAAAGCCGAGTAAACAAAAATCTTATCCTCATGGAATTTACGGTTAGTAAAGCAATAAGGAATTTAATTTTCATAAGCATATCACTAATTAAGCACAATGCCTGCAAAAGTAAAAATCCCCACAACCACCACTTTAAATGTTTTTCCTGAACGCTAAAAATAAATAATATTTTTAAAAAATTCAGACTTAAGGCTATCTGCAGCAACTTCGAACACCGTTTTCCAGGAACAGTCAGAACCCGAGGTTCCAAACCAGAAATCGCGTTACCTGACACGCACACCACCGTGACAGCGAGTTGCGGGATTCAACTGCACGAGACCGTCAAATCGCTCGGGCACACGCTGGGTCGGTTTATTAGCGTCCGAGCTCTCGCAAATGCCTCAATTTCAAGTCATTCAAGAACCTGAATTGTGTAACAGAAAAATATCGCGCTCCCCGATACACTCCCCGCCGGGACGCCGGGCGCGACGCGGTACAAAGATCGCGGCGCCGCTCCCACAGGTAACTCGGAAACAAAGTCCCAGGCCCCCGCGCGACCCCCGCCGGAAACTCGATGCCGGCCGCGCCCCCGGACCCCCGCGGCAAGGTCAGCGGGCCGCGCGCTGACAGCGGGCCCGCCGCGCTCCGCCGCGCTGAATCACCGGCGCTGCGCCGCGCCCCGGCCCGGCCGCCCGCCCCGCGCCCCGCGCCCGCCGGCCGCCTCGCGCCCCACGCCGCCTCCGCCGGCCCGCCCGGCCGCCCCCACTCACGGCCGCGCGGGCCGCGCCGCTTCCTCCTCCGCCTCCCGCCTCCGCCTCACTTGACAAAATGGCGGCGGCAGGAAGTGGCGGCTCGGCCCGCCCCCGCCGCCCCGCGCCCGCCGCCCGCGCCCGCCGCCCCGCCCCGCGGGCCCGGCCGCACGGGGGCCGCCGCCCGCCGCCCGCCGTCCGCCCGGCCAGCGCCCGCCCGCGCGGGAGCCCGGGCCCCGGCCCCGTTACGCAATGCGGGTGACGCGGGCCCGCGCGGCCGCCGCCCCGAAGGGCACCGGTCCTCACCTGAGACGCTAGGCCGCACGCGCCCCCGCCGCCGCCTCGCCGGGCCGCCGCGCGCCGCCCGGGCCCGCCCGCCGCGCACGCCGCCCCGCCGCGCACACGGCCCGCTCGCCGCCGCCGCTCGGGCTCCCCGGCTGCGGGAGAGCAGAACAAACAGCCCTCCTGCCGCCGCCGCCGCCGCCGCCGCCGCCGCCGCCGCCAGCGCACTGACGTCACCGCGCACGCGCGCGCGCACGCGCCCCCGCCGCCGGCGTGCGCGCGGCCCGGGCCCGGCGGCGGCGGCGGCGGCGGCGGCGGCGGCGCGGGAAAGCCGCTCCCGAGCGAGGACCGTGGCGGCGGCGCCCCCGCGCACCGTGCGGAACCCCACGGACCGACCCGCGGACGGGATGGGCCCACAGTCCTTGCACGTGAGCCCAGACTGAGACGGCGCCCGCTGACGGAGGGGACTGGTTTAGACCTGCTCCAAACCGGGAAGCGGCCAGGATGCTGGCCACTGGCCGCAGGAGTGGGGCTGTGGGCCTGAGTGACAGGGCAGCGTCTTTTAGAGGGAGGGGTTCAGGGCAGACCCCCAAATGCTGAAAGCCGAGCCTGCTCTGCCGGGGGCGGGGGGGGGTGGGGTGGGGTGGAGTGGGCGGCACCCGGGCAGTTGTATCTGGAGGCCGGAAGAGACCCCTGATGCCGCCCTTTTGGCCATCCCCACTGCCCTCGTTCTCATCCTTAACACACACCAAAGTCAGCTTCATAAAATGAGAATTGGCTTAGCTCTTGCTATTGAAAGCGACTTTTAAAATTTTTTCAAACGGGGAAGCACAACATTTCACTAGTGGGACCTGGACAAAATAAGGACTCCTTAACAATGCATGAGAAATTGTTAGTTGTGGCAATGATTGTATCTGGCTAGTAGGTTTCTAGTGTTGTATCACTGTATCACTGTCATCCCGTTGTTCATGGATTTACTCGAGCTCGAGCGGGTGCCTGTAACGTCTCCATTCGTCCCAGACCTGAGATTTTAGCAGCCTCTCCTTACTCCTCTTTCCCAACACTGCCATACTGGAGGCTCTTTCAAGGTCTGGGGAATGACTAACTATTCATGTTTGGCAACTTAGGGCTAAAGAAAAAGTACAGCAGGTAAGATGCTTTCCTTGCATGCAGCCCACCAGGGTTGGGTTCCCAGCACCCTGAGCACAGAATCAGGAGTCAGCCCTGAGCACCACTAGGTATGGCCCAAAACCAAAGAAACAAAAAAGAATTAAGAACCAGTACTCGGGGCTGAAGCGATAGTACAGTGGGTAGGACGTTTGCCTTGCACGCAGCCGACCTGGGTTCAATTCCCAGCACCCCATGTGGTCCCCTGAGCACCGCCAGGAATGATTCCTGAGTGTAGAGCCAGGAGTGACCCCTGGGCATTGCCAGGTGTGACCCAAAAAGCAAAAAAATAAAAAAGAACCAGTACAAAAATACTTGTTCAAGAATGTTGCTGATAGTACTACTCAAAGAAGTTCAGTGGCAACAAATTGTATCCCATTTTTTGAAGAATAGATTAATGTAGTTTGTTCACGGTCACGGTCCTCCCGTTATTCATCAATTTGCTCGAGCGGGCCCAGTAACGTGTCCATCATGAGACTTGTTGTTACTGTGTTTGGCATATCGAGTACGTCACGGGTAGGTTGCCAGACTCTGCCGTGCGGGCGAGATACTAGCTTGCCAGGCTCTCCCAGGGAACGGAGGAATCAAACTCAGGTCGGCCATGTTGGCTGCGTGCAAGGCAAACGCCCTACTGCTGTGCAATCGCTCCAGCCCATATGTAGTTTATTAAGAATGAGAATTGCTTTATCAAGGATCAAACTAAGGAACATGCTTCGTGAAAAAAAGTCAGCCAGAAATTCATGTATTGGACGAGTACTTTCATGAAAATTTCCCAGAATAGGTCAGTTAGAAAACAAGGATGGGTTTCTGTTTAGGGTGAGGAACATCTGACATGGATAATGGCTGTACAAATGCCTGTATTAAATGCCAGGGCCAGGGACTAGAGTGATAGTATAGCCAATAGGGTGTTTGCCTTGCAACAGCCAACCCACGTTCAATTCCCAGCATCTCCTAGGGCCCCCCCCCACAAGCATCACCAAAAGTAATTCCAAGTGCAGAGCCAGGAGTAAGCCCTCAGCATCGCTGGATGTCGCCCCCCCAAAAAACCCAAAGAAAACCAGTATCAAGTGCTACAGTATCATCACCCACTTAAATGACTAGTGGTGAAGATATAGCAGAGGTTAGGGTGCTTGCCTTGCATGTGGATGACTTAGGTTTGATCCCTGACTCCCCAGATAGTCCCCTGAGCGTGGCTGGGTATTGCCCCAAACCCCCCAAAAAAAGAAAGCTATTTTTACCTAAAAAAAAAATAGAGGGGCATGAGTGATAGCACAGTGGGTAGAGCGTTTGCTTTGCACACGACTGACCCAGGTTTGATTCCTAGCATCCCATATGGTCCCCTGAGCACCGCCAGGAGTAATTTCTGAGTGCTTGAGCCAGGAGTAACCCCTGTGCATCTCCCGGTGTGACTCAAAAAAGCAAAAAAAAAAAAAAAAAAAACCCGCCAACCTTTTTTAGCAAGCCACTTTTTTGAATGTTAAGTGTTAACTCGTTTTGTTTTATAGGAACAACAGTTAGTGGTATTAGGGGGGCTTGGAACATCTGGTGGTACTAGGTGGGAGAGGGTGCGGTGCTGGGAGCAAACTTAGTACATGCTGGGGATATGTTCTGCTACCGAAGCCTTATCCACAGGCCCGTAATCTGTTTGATAACCAGCTCCCTGGGAGAGTAAATACTGTCTCCTACACTTTTTTTTTTTTTTTTTGCTGTTTGGGTCACACTGGTGATTCCAGGGGTTACTTCTGGTTTTACACTCAGGAATTACTCCTGGTGGTGCTTGGGGGACCATGTGGGATGCTGGGAATTGAACTTGGGTCGGCTGCGTGCAAGGCAAACACCTTACCAGCTGTACTATAGCTCCAGACCCTACTTTCTCCTACACTTTAATACTAAACGAACATATATGTTTCCAAACCCAAGATCTGGGTGCTTAGCATTTGAAGGCCAATGCTTGAGAGACAAATATTGCTGTGGGACAGGTTGATTTAGATGCCAGCAACCTGAGCAGATGGTGCACTTACCCCAAGAAACCATCTTCCAAAGATAGTAAGTGGGTTAAGGCGCGTACATTTACTCTGTTGATTTTTTTTGTTCAATTTTGTTTTCATAAGGTTGTTCACATTGACTACATTCAATATTTCAACACCAATCCCACCACCACACCTTCCACGACCATTTTTTTTTTTTTTTTGCGATGCACAGGGGTTACTCCTGGCGATGCTCAGGGAACCATATAGGATGCTGAGAATCGAACCCAGGTTGGCAGCGTGCAAGGCAAACGCCCTACCCACTGTGCTCTCTCCAGTCCCCCCACAACCATTATTTCTAATTATCCCATCACCATGCAAGCCTGCCTGCCACAGGCAGATATTCTATTTGCATATTATGAATATCACACTGCAGCCATGTGCTCTTGGAATTCTAAATATGTAAATGATTGGGATCCAGAGACATCTCTGAAGGGAGATAATCCGTTTTGAGATTCATTTGTCTCTGGATCAAGGCCAGTGGCTCCTTAAATATGGCCCAGAGGCAGTTCATGGGTGTGACAGCCAGGACCCCAAGGGGCTGGGAGATGGGAAGAGAAGAACTTCGCTGTGCCATGTGGCCTGTCCTTTTCAGACCCTGTCCCCACGTACTTGTTTTTTTTTTTTTTTTTTCTGAAAGTTTGTGGCCACTGGGGGTTCATCTGGAGTGGGTGGACAGGGAACACCCTCTCCATGTGAGGTTCCACGGTGAAATCGGCTTGGTATGGGGTCCAGAGAGAGCTGCTGTCTTCCAGGGTCCACTGTTGCTTCCTAAGTGTTCATTTCTAAAAGGCCAATGAAGGGGCCAGGAGGCAGCTCCTAGTCGGGACCGCAGTAGCCCCACAGCACATGTCCTTGCACCTGTACTAGTGCAACCCTTGCTCGTGCTTCCCCACAATCACAGGGTCTGAGCAGCTCTGTAGCCCCATGTCTTAGCATGTAACTGGTGTCCAAGCCCTGAGCACTATGGACCCCTCCCCCAAGAACCCTCCCTCCCCCGACATTCCATGAAGCTGAAATTAGACTCAGATCCCTAAGATACTTTTGTTTGGCTATAGCAACAAAGATCACCAAATTTCCTAACTTCATTTTTAACGTCATACCAGGGAAAGCTCATCCGTAGGTATCACACAATATGAGACCTTTAACCTCCTCTGGATTCCTCCTTTGTAACTGGGAAGTAACTGGTGAATATCCTCAAAGAGAAGACTTGAATTTGTTTTGGGGCCACACGCGGCGATGCTCAGCAGTTACCCCTGGCGGTGCTTGGGGGACTACATGGGATGCCAGGGATCAAGTGGCCTCCCCACTATATTGTTGGTCTAGCCCCCAGCTTGCAATTTATTTGTCACCGCAAGAAATACTAGTTCTCAGTGAGAAAAGCTTGTTTATTCCTGTTACTGAAAGAAATGTTCCCCATGTTGGTAGCTTCGGAGTAGCTACTTCCTCTGCAGAGGGACAAGGCTCAACCTAAGTTCGGAAATAAAATGGTTAGTGTCATTTCCCAAAGGATGAGGAGGTAGAAAAACATTGAAGTTTAGACAGATGTGACTTCCGACAGGCTTTCAGAAGCAGAACAAAAGCAAGCAGATCCCTTGTTTTATTGCCCTTTTCCAGATTCCTTGGGATTCAGTCCCTTTGCCTTAAGAGACTAAAGCATCCCAAAAGCACCATCAAACTGATTGGAGCCACCTCTAAGGCAGCATTAAACATTCAGAGCACAAACATTCAGAGGTATCATTTTTCTTGCTTAACATTTTTATTTTAGTTCGGGTATTTGAATTTTTCATAGATACCAATCTTGTATCTCCATACCTGAGAGCAGTGCCCATATCTTATTTTGAATTTTGATCATGGATTAGCACCTGGTACAGAGATGCCCATCACAAATATTTTACTATCTTTTTTTCCAATTTCCCACTGACCAGTGCTTCCCAGAATATAAGTTCACAGATTTACAGGGAATCTGACCCAACAATATTTCAAAAGGAAGATTTTTCTAGTTCTTTTGATTATACAAAAGT